GCATGGCACTAGCGTTAATTCGGAAGGGTTCGGATTAACGTTTAGCGCGTGATTGTAGAAACAGACGTTTGTGAATGATTGTACGATGTTTGCGAGATTGCGTCCCATCTACGGGCCATCCGATCTGGGTCGGATGCCACCCGTATGGGATATGATTGTGAATGTGGCGATGATATAATCGCGCCAACGTCCGAATGACAGGACGGTTATGGGCACCCCGATGACTTGCGTGGATAGCCGATTGTAGTCGGTACTATTGCGTGACGAAACACACGGTTTTTAGAACCGCGCCAACGTATCCGCTAGCGACGGAGCGGATTCCGGGAGATGAGTCTCCCGAGGATGAGGCAATACATATACCTGAGATTCGGGTGGATTGTGGTCCCCCGAGGAGGTGGTACGGACTTACTCTGCCAGGTTCGGGCCCGAACCTGACAGGTATTTCCGCGGCGGATGGTCGGCGAGGGAGAGTTGCAGCGATTGGCTCTCTCGTTATAGTCGACGGCGTCGGTTGTAGCCGACGTCAGGTGAGCTCCGGGATTGAGAGGTGACATCAATGCCGGAGTGGGGACACGCCTAGCATCGAGAGGTGACATCGTTGCTAGGGTGGGGTGACGTGTTCGGGCGGAGAAAATAAAAAGATACTTATGCCGGATTCCGAGTGGTTGCGGAGTAGATGGAATCCGAGGAGAGAGGTGGTTGTGCTACACACATGGGGAGTACATACCTACGCATGGTGCACGTAGAGACGATTTGACGGACTCTGTCCTGCGACTTGTCGTACGGCCGACTTGTCGTACGGACTTGATTGTGATTGCTGCGTGCTTACAGTGATTCATGTTTTCAATTCATGTTTATTAGAATTCTAGTATATACACACATATATATATATGTTTGTGCTTTCCCTGGCACCATGAGAATGGAACTCCGGGTTACGCCCGAGTTCACTCTCTAAGCAATTAGCTTAAGACGTTGTTACGCAACGTTTCAAGTCGTGAGCAGCAGTAGCTGAGGAGCGGCGGACGTTAGAGACTTGGGTGACCTGCCGTGTGATCATGTATAATTATTCTCTACGGTACATTTACGTTTTCGGGGAACGGTTTTGTGTTATATCGGTGGTAGACTTTTATGGTTTGTAATAATGTGATACTACCACTTTTTATGTATAATTATAACTGGAATAATGTACCGTATATATATGTATGAATGCTTTCTTCCGCTGAACTCTGAAAATAAAAGTTTTAAATTCCCGCGGATTTTTGGAAATGCGATTTTTTTTATTTTACTTGTCCATGTGGCGCAACTCGTATTGCGGGATACGGGTTTCGGGTGTCACAATTACAAACCATAAAAGTCTACCACCGATATAACACAAAACCGTTCCCCAAAAACGTAAATGTACCGTAGAGAATAATTATACATGATCACACGGCAGGTCACCCCAGTCTCCGATGTCCGCTCCTCGGCTACTGCTGCTCACGACCTGAAACGTTGCGTAACAACGTCCTAAGCTAATTGCTTAGAGAGTGAACTCGGGCGTAACCCGGAGTTCCATTCTCATGGTGCCAGAGAAAGCACAAACATATATATATATGTGTGTAT